CTTTGTTCCTGAATGGGGTTATGAGACTCATGTTTTTCCTAATGATCAATGGGCTGTTGCAAATTGTGGAACTTATTTTGACTCAAGTTATTCAACTGACACATGTCCCGCATTTCAAGACAATCTAAGTGCTCCAATTGACACTTTCGGAGATTTTCCACCCCAATATCAAATGCAGTATGACCCTTATTCAAACGGGTATGATCAAGGATGGTGGAATAATTCCAGTTTTGATTATGCGACCGGGCCAATGGATTTTCAACAGCAAGAGTCTCAACAACCAACATCCCTGTCAGGGTACCAGCAGCAATACCAACCCCGACCACCTCCGCCCCCAAGCTCTGGTCCATCTTTGGAGGAGATGATAAAACAAGTGATGACAAACATGGCGCAAAATCAGCAAAGGACGGAGGCAATCATTATGCAAAATCAACAATGGACGGACTCCGAAATGCAGGATATAAGAAATCAGATAAGTCAAATGGCCACACCAATCAATCGTTTGGATTCCCAGAACCAAGGTGAATTGCCATCTCAACCTGAGTTGAACCCGAAGAATGTCAGCGCCATGACCTTGAGGAGTGGTAAAGAGGTTCAAGGGCCTGAGCCTGTGATCCCTAAGGACAAGGATGAGGAGATGCAAGAATGTCAAAATGAGAAATCTACAGATGCAGTTGAAAAAGAAGCCGAAAATGAAGAAATGGAACCCCAACCGCAACCTATTGAAGTGAAAGAATCCAGTGAAGAATCATCAAATGTGGTGACACCACCTCCATTCCCTAATCCGCATTTTCTTAACTCTTATTCCATGATTTCTGTTAATGAGATTGATTTTGTTATACCGGAAGTTTTTGAGTCTCATGGCAGAAATAAGTTAAGAGTAGCTATGGTCAAATATCTTGAACCGTTGAGTGCTCTTGATGGCGTGGTTAAGCTTTTCTAGTCAAGGGGACAACTGACGATTTGGTTCGACAATTACTGTGAGATCGAATCTGTTTTAATTATTTTCTTCATTTATTGGTATTTATATGTTCCTTGATTTTAATTGCTATGGCCTTGTGTATGATTGATTAGTGCGCAATAATTAATTATTCATATAGGCTATTTTTGCTAAATAGGGGTAATTGAATCCGTAATTGTTCGTTATCTCTACCTCAGTAGCAACTGGCGTAATTGGGTTTATGTCAGGGGAGCATATGATCTAATTTAAACAAACCCTCGTAGCGTGTTTGTTGGTTAGGATTGGGCCTCTCTAATTATTAATGCAATCTAGAAATTAAATCCTACGGTCGTACCTAGGGTTATTTTTGGGTTAGAGAAATGGCTAACGGTCGTACCTTAGCTATCGAGAAATTAAAGAAGGGTTGGTTGTTTATCGCGTGCATGACAACTATAACTAATCTATTGCTAAATGTTGGAATTATTTCCGCATCAATGATCAGTGCATGAACCATCTCTGATGTGTACCCTTGGCTAGAGTTTCCTTAATTATTTCTTTTAATTAATTATTTTCTGCAGTTAATTTATTTAGTTAGCACTCAATCCAAAACCCCCCATACTCTGGACTCTAGAAGGAACGAGTTATCCCCAGTCCCTGTGGATTCGACCCTACTCACCGCTATATACAAAATCTGTATTTTTCTCGAGTAGGTATTTATTATTGTACAGGTTCGGCACCTGTCAGAGGAAAGTTCAGATGAAAGTTTAATCGCATTTGACTTTTGTGGGACCTTAACATTTCACTTATATGTTCAATGCTTGAATTTAACTTTGGCAGCCTGTGCAACCAAAGATAAGCAGCTCAGATGAATTATCTTCCGAAGATGAAGAAGAAACTTTTGAGGATGAGGAATAACCTGCCAAAACCCCACAAAAGAAGGTAACATTTTGCAATTTAAATATTTGTGTTTGTGATTCTTAAAATGCTATTTATTATGGTTTGATTTGCCTTTAGTTGGTGAGTGAATGAATTGATTCTTTAAAGTAATTTTTTTTCTTGATTTCAAGTAGATGGTCCTAGCTAATTGAGATATACCTTAAAATTTCATATGTGCCACTTGACTAGCAGAGTATTATTAAGTGATATTGAAGCTTGCATTACTGTTTTGTAAAACCAGTGTGCAAGGTGCTGGTATTTTGGTGTTACCCAACAAATACCCTCAAGTTACTTGTTACTAATGTATGGTTTACATTTCTAGCTGCATGGTTTTGTAAAAAGAAAGCAATTGGAAGATACCCTTACTCGCATGCATCTTGTGACCATTCCTTTTGGAGTTCCTAGGAAACCAGCAATGACTAAAGATGACCTTTTTAATATCAATACTGACATTGTTAGGACTCTCTAAAGGAATTTCAAAATGCTACATGAAAGCCATTGTCCACGTGGCACCATTTGGGACTGGAATGAATGTGACGTGTTGGCATCAAATATTTGGGGCTGCAAGGAATTTCAAAGTGGTAGTGAAGTTATGAACTATTGTTCTACGATTTAGTTAATTTATCGTGGTGTTGTTTAACTATCTTTGTTATGGATATTTGATAATTTAAAGTCCAAGATGGTTGAATTAGCCCAAGATTTAAATTTTTTTTCCTTCTAATACTCGTTGGAGCTTTACAAACTATCGTAAAAATGTGTGTGAGAGAGATTCTGTACTGTTGACTTAATTAATTTACGTTTATTGTGTTCTTCATTCATGTTTATTTTTCATATTGTATATGTGCTCCTTTGTCCAGACTCTCTGTGGTTTATGTGGAAGTATGCAAGCACTTCGTTATGGTCCATAATGGCATAAGATTTACATCCCTTCTTAAGGTCCTTCCTTGCCAGCCAATATGAGAAGTAATTGATTCATATCTAAAATATAAGAGCAAAAATTAATGTCTTCCTGATAGAATTTTTAGTGCACTTTACCACTGTGGTCTCGCCCATTAAGCAGCTTAATTAGCAATCCAATTAAATTAACAATTACTTCAATTCTTCAGTTCTACGAGTTATGTATATGCGTGGACACTACATATAACTTGGCAAGAATTTACATATCATTGTTTAGAGAAATGAGAAAATCGGGAAATTCTTCAATATTTTCGGCACAATATATTGGGAAAATCTCTAGTATATATATATGCAAAGTTGGTTAGGCGATACTACTGTAGCATTTACAAGTCCTGAGCAGGAACCCCGCAGTGTAGACCCCATAACCAATCCTAAGCTGTCTGGTTTCCACTTCGTGCAAGCGCCCTCCTCAATTTGTTCCAGACACGACATTCGAGGTACTTAGAATAAAAATTACTAGATCTCACTCATAGAGGATTATTGAGTATTATATTATTATTACGGGTTTATGTTTGTCTGTCTCCTCTTTTTATTATTATTATTCTTTTTTATCCTCCCATCTTTCCGCCTGTTCTTTTCACCATGTTTGTACTTCTCTTTCCAATCTTACCCCACAAATCAAATTTTGAATTTGAATGATAACATGCATATGATTAAAGGGACGGACTATATTGGAAGGAGAGATTAAAAGTGCTTTGACTTTCTCAACATGACAAACATTTTGGGACATCCCAAAATGGAAAGTATAACACTTTCAATGGGATGAAGGAGTATCATTTTTAGGCAATAATATTCTTTAAAGCACGTGGGCTCTCTCTGGTGTCTGAAAGAGAAGACCAAGCACTAAGTTATCCATGAAGAAAATTTATAAGGCTTAATGTCACTAGAAAAATCTGCAGTGAATAACTTTACATGCACACGTCTAATATTTGCTAAATCAAATTGCAGTTCTACAGACTGATTAATTGACACAATAAAACTTACATGACATCTCAATTCAACCTTCAGTAGGTTGATTAATGTGTGTTCTTTTGAATTGATTCAGTTTTTTCTTGATTACAAAGCTTGTGTCAAATATTTCCTTTGGAAATCAGTCCAATTATCAGGAACCATGCCTTCGTAGCTTATACATGATATTTACTTTGTTCATGCCTTCAATCCTCTTTGGCATTCTTCCATGTGGCCCGGCTATTGTCTTATCCCTCCAACTTGGAGAAAAACCTGATCATAAAGATTCTTCATTTTATGCATTTAGATGGCCTCTGAGATTGCTTGTAATGTAAGATAAAGGAGCAAAAATAAGTCCATTTGTCGATTTATAACTGCAACTTCATTTTCCACCTTTTTTTAATATACTGCTCTTCTTGTATCTAGTTATTGTGGATTTCATAGGATGATTTAGATGAGGTATATACTTACTGTATGCCAGTCTGATCGTATTGATGAAAGTTACTTATCAGAACAAGGATACGTGAACACATAAGGTGCAAAGCTTGCATTTTAACTTTCTTCAGTTTATTCTGGGTTGATTTGGGTGGTAAATAGACCAGACTGAGAAGTAATGTCCTCGTTTGGATTGCATTTTTCTGAATTTTTTGTAGAAAAATTACTATAGCGATTTGATATATATGAGGTAAAAAGATGAATGAAAAATGTGTTCACGGAAAACGTAACAATTTTTCTTTGAAAAATTGGCAATCCAAACACACCCAATGTATTTCCGGTATCAAATCAAAGAAAAAGTTAATCCATGTGACCTGTGATACTGTGCAAACTGCATGCACTGTTATGTGCAGTGCTTGGATTAGAATCATATAGCTTGTGGTTAGCTAGTCTTCATTTCTGAGCACATATACCATTCTGGATTTAGACTACATTGATATCTTTACTATGATGGAGTGGAAATATAGCACATTTATGTAATTGTTCCCAAACAAGTATGGATCCTGAGACGCCGATGCCTTAAAACAACCACACTGCTCCATTCATATGATCTGACCCTCAATTGCTTCCAATTTCTGCTCAGAAGTTGTATTATGTTATTTGCTTTGCTAAGTTTGATTTACTTTCTTGTAGTTCTTGTAGCTCACATGCTTTATTGATATGAATGTCTTGTGTTTAACAGACCTGGCGTAGGCAAAACTACAGTAATGCGGGAGTTATCTCGCGGTCCTGTCGCATGATCTTCAAAAGAGAGTGGTTTGTTATGTTTAAGTATTTCTGTATTACATCACTTGTCAGTCCACTTCCAACACTATCACAGCTTTGTATATATTTTCTTCTCTACTTAAGAAACTGATCAACCAAGATCCCTAAATGGAATAGGTGGTTGTTGACACCAGCAATGAAATCGGAGGTGATGGGGATGTTCCACACCCTGCAATAGGAAGTGCAAGAAGATTGCAGGTTCCTGAGCCCTCTATGCAGCACTTAGTTATGATTGAAGCAGTGGAGAATCACATGCCTGAGGTGATTATAATTGATGAGATTGGCACAGAATCTGAAGTTAATGCTTGTCGAACTATTGCAGAGAGAGGAGTTATGCTTGTAGGCACTGCTCACGGTGAGGGGCTGGAGAACATTGTCAAGAATCCTATCCTAGTGGACCTGGTTTGTTTAGATCCTTCTGGAAATTCTTAATATGAAAGTAATCTGTTTGATCCTTTGTTCTTATCATATTGCAATATCAATTGCATCTTCCCAACTTGTAGAGATCTTCAATTATCCTGATCCTTAGTTGTCATTGTTATCTCCACTAAATTGATTGCCATACAAAGTGATCATGCGAAGCTGAATTTGTCAAGAATGTCTGGGGGCCATAAAAAACTCACTTGTTTGATAACTCACAAATTGCTGTGGTCTTGTTTTGATTAATTTAAACAGTCATAGTTTTTTCGATATTTAGTACATGGATAATTGTAATGTTTTGTGGGTAAGTTGCTGGTATGATTGCGAGAAGGATGAGGGGGAGTAGAAAGCATGTTGGAAGGCTGAGGAGAAGGGAGAGAGGTACAGCAATTAGTGTGTTGTTTGTGGGAACTCATTCCAAGTCCTCATTTATGTAAAGTAGATGCTGTTATTTGAATCCTTTAAAGAGGAAGTGAAAGCATCTTCATTTTACTTAGGAGTCTGGTGCTTGTTTTTTCAGCATTTTTCAAACGGTATCCAAAACTATATAATCAAATTTGTTTTTTCACTAATAGTCACAGGATTTTATAAAGGTAGTCATAAAAACAAGAACCAGGCATAGAGCTATTAGGCTTATTTGCTGCTGTACTCTTATATAGGATGTTAACCTAGAAGTGCAGATGTAAGCATATTCAGTATAGTTTTATGGGGAGGGGTAATCCGAAATCTTATGAAAACAAGTGATTGACGTTGATAAAATTTCTCTATCCAACATCAGCCTCAAATCTTTCATTTGCATATTAGAAGATGAATAACGCATGATCTTCGAGGACAATGTTCCACAGACATACAATAGTGGCTGTCACCGCTAGTTCAGTTTCATATTGCTCAAGCATTTCAAGTTCTTTGGTTTGAATATCTTAAGATATAGAGAATCCTTAGGAGCTATGGAAAGTTGCATGCAGAATCCTTAGGTGTCATGCAGAATTGGCATGCATAATTTCTTTTATATTTTTAATGAAATGATTTGACACAATTGATTTTTTCAATGTTGAATATTCAGATTGGTGGAGTGAAAAGCGTAACATTAGGTGATGAAGAAGCCCGAGTAAGAAATAGCAAAAAAATCATCTTTGAGAGAGTGGCTTCTCCCACATTTCCTTTTTTGGTTGAGGTTAGGGAGCGGACTATTGGGCCATACATCGGGTTAGTTGTTTATTTTTTGGTAATCATTGAAATCCTGAATTAAGATCTATTTCACACCTTGTGTCTTCCATGTTGATAAATTTTATTTTCGTTATTTTTTTTTACTATATTTTTCTCGCCTATTTCTTTGACCTATATTTTTCTCTCCTATTTCTTTGGTGGGGTATGGCAAAGGGTTGTTTGCATCTGTGCTTTAGGATTGTTAGTGACAAGAAAAGTCTAGTTTATTTCTCATGCAATTGTATCCTTCATGATGGAATGCTCTATAGTACGGTCTTTAATTGGAAAGTCCACCTAGGGAATGCCTACTAAAGACAGAGCTAAGAAGTTTATAATGACACTAACAACGGCCTTCCCTTGAATTTTGCACAAATTCAAGCTGTTTTTGTTACTTAAATATTCTTTTTTTCTATTTTCAATGTTCACTTGTGCAACCTCTGGTGCTATGTAATTTTGCTCTGCATTGTGTGGAAGGAGGTCTTAGTATTCTTTTTTTTTTTTTTTTGTGGGGCATTGTTTGTAAGGCGGCCATTGGTTCAATACATGCAAGTAATATTTTTCTCTGGTACGGATAAATCTAGTCATTCATATATTGTGGGAAAAAGGATTCTTGTGCACTGAGTTTGTGTTAGCGTAAAACTTTGCTGTTTCTGTTTCTTTCATGATCTCTATTAAAACTTCTTATCTTCCATACATAGAACAAAATAACCAGCTGGGTTTGCTCTATAACATTTACTTAAGACCCCAATTTAGGCATTGTTGGCTTCTTGTTTGGCCGTGTATGCGATGAATTAGAGGATAGGTGCCTGATCATCTAAGGTTTGACTGCCTGTAGTCCAGCAGTGCAGTTAAGTTATTTAAGATCAAGCTGGAGGTCCAGCAGTACTATGGTTATGGTGGATGTCTTCAAATGTCAAACCTAGAGGATTCTTGTCTAGATTGAAACAACTTTATCACTTTGTTTTTCTCTTTGCAAGATATTTTAGGTGGAATAATTTTTTTCTTTTTCCAATTTCATTATTTAGACAGGAAGGAGTGTGGATGCTTTGCTTCGTGGGAGGAAATCGTTTGTTGAGGTAAGCAATGTATTTTATCCGTGTTCCATGATATTTCTGGGTTATGCTTTAAAAGGGTAGTTAAATCTGCTGTAACATGGGCATATATATGGTACAGAATAAAGGCTGTAAATATAGCAATTAATTGAGTGAAGAAAAAACTATGGATGTATATTTGAAAACCTAATATCTCTTGGCAAGAGTTCTTTCTCATTGCTGATTAGGATATGGTCAACATGTGCTTTTAAACTCCTCTAAAATGTGAAAGTAGCCAGGTTCTTTAATAGGTTTCTACCCCATACACATTATAGATATTTGGTGAAGTATCTTGCATCCTTGATTGATGGTCGATTTAGTTGTTAAAGGAAGGTCCGGATGAAGTGGAAAAGTTCCAACTTTCTAAAACTATAACGGGATTAAGAAGTTAACTCAAATTGTGGTAATAGCTTCAACATGCTTAACTTGAAATGATGAGAACTCGAATGATTCTGCAAAATGGAAAAACACAAATTCCTGGTAGAACTCCTAAAACGCGGTTACCTTTAGAAATGTATAATGTACAGAACGGCTCTATTCTATTTAACATGCATTGCTTTTACAGATTAGGAAAAGAGATAAAGACATGAAAATCATGATTGAAAGATGGAAGATGGAAGCCTGAATTGTCACTTTGGGAACTGGTAATATCAGTTTGATCCTGTCAGCAGCTTGCACAGAGCTTCTTGAATGTGAGATTCTAACATAGTTCTTGACGAATGGAGGCTTTTACTGGTTTTTTGTTGCATATGAAGGATGATTGATCTTGTAAAGCTTTGCATAAGGTAGGTGGTGAGATTTTTAATGATCCTAGAATCCCGTCAAGAAGCTTATTGGGTGACTTGGGATCTCTAACCAACTCCGACTTTTATCTTCAAATCCATTGCATGAGATCTTACCAGAGATCCTGGAAAATTCAATGAGATCAGTAACTTTCATATCGAGATGGTGATTAAAAGAGGGCCACCTCTTAGGGGGTTCTAATTTCTAAAGGTCAGGATTCCAATTCTTCGCTGCCAGTAACCACCCTACACTTGAGGGCTACAGCTCAAGCAGGTCCCTCCCGCAAAATACTTCGCCAACCCCACGTGGCATTGGTATTACATTTGACATTGAGGAAGTTCTTGTTCATATAAATGTTTTGAAATGAAAAAACTCACTCTGACAAAGATTGCCTTAGCTAAGAATGCCCGCCCTATTCATTTTCTCAGTAGATCTAATACCTCGTCTCCATTGTTATTTAGACCTGGGTAGAATAGACAAGGGTTTCCAATTGATACCCTAGCCTTCTACAAATAAATCTGGCAAATGTCGATCCACGCTTTAAGCAGCACTCCGAGGGATATGAAACATTGCAAGCGCAAACGATGTCCACTTTCCAATGCGCTTTGGCGAACTATTCACTAAGGCCTTGTTTAGAAGGTCATTTTTCACCAAAATTTTTATGATTTTCGTGAACATATTTTTTAATTCTTTTTTTATTTCATATATATCAAATTGTTATAGTACAAAAATTTTAGAAAATTGCAATCCATACAGGACATAAATTTGACTTTATAAAATTTACCTTTTGACCAGACAAAAAAAAATGAGAAAATTTTTTGCTAACACCAATTTCTGAGTGTAATGCGAATAATGAATGTAAAGTGTATGAGTGGATAATGATAGGCGTTTGTTGGGAAAAAAAAAAAAAAAAAAGGATAATGATAGGCACTGTAATGAATTTAGTGCATATGAAACTATGAATTCAAGACAAAAAAAATACTATGAATTAGCTATGAATTTTTAGCTATAATGCCCTTGTTATTTTCATAGCTTATTAGTATCAAAATAAGAAAATTGCACAAAATATTCCTCGCTTTTTGCAAAAAAAAAAAAAAGAAAAAATTTACCCTCCTCGTAATTAGATTGTTGATCTCATGTCATTCGTGAAAGCAAGTCATGGTCCAAGACCTCCAATTTTTGGCAACTTTTTGACCCACCGCACAGGTTCAATTCTACAGGAGCAAAAAATGCCAGATTAAGGGGACGAAATAAAAACTTAAAGAAACAAACTACTATTAAAAAAAAAAAAAAATCATATAAACTTGCACGTCACTGCCTCGGTTCTCATAGGAAGTATTTCTTTAATTATTCACCTAAACAATTAACATGCAATTAATGATGCAACAACCAAATCTTGATCCGTGATTTACTTCCTAAAAGCTAGTAGTATTAAACTAGCCCACTGGCCTCTGCTTTGTTATTACAGCTTTCATGAGAAGTCACTCCTAAATACAGAGAATGATTTCCACTCCCAAATTTTAGCAAAATATGGATTCCAAAATGTTTGAATAGAGAAAAAAATTACATTTAACAAAAATGTCATTGATTTCAATTATACTATTACACCGTAAACAGAATTAAATATCTTAGTATTCAAGTTTGTTTGATCATTGTATCGTATTTGAAATTGTGTTCAAGTTTGATTTGTTTATATAACCAAGTTGAGTTTGAAAATATTAATTTTTATCAAGTCAAACTCTAATAGCTTGAATATTTTGGTTGCAAAGTTCCAATGTTTATGAAATCTAACTCTAATAATTTGAATATTTTACATACAAAGTTCCAATGTTAATCAAGCTAAGTTTTGAGTAAGAAGAGATTGATTGATTGGTACGTCAAATCCCAATTTTATTTCATGTGTAGTTAGAGATTCAACTTTCTAAAGAACATTGTTTTGAAAATCGGATTGGATCGCGCGGTTCAATCGATCGAACTGCGAACTGAACAAAACTTTGATCCGGTTCATATCTCGGGTTGACTGGAGTTAAAAATTAGTAAGAACCGGATTGAACCGTTGAATTGGCGGTTTTTTCGTTTTTGTATATTAAAATGAAAAAATATATAAAAAAGATTAAGTTTTCTTTAACACTAAAGATTAATTATTAAATGTCACATCCACTCACTTTCTTCTCATTTTTTTGTCTTTTTATCAAGTTTGCATCTCTATTTTCTATTTTCCTGATTTTCTCCAAATTCCAAACTTCTATTTTTTTTTTAAAAAAAGTTGTAATATCTAAATCCAAAAAACGTGAATTAAAAATTTAAACTCACAATGTCTAATTCCCATGGACGTGAATTTTGTATAATTTTAGAATATTGTGGTATTTTTGGATTGGATTTGAAATTATTTTTTGGTAGATACAATTAAGACTGAGATGAAATTTATTTGTTACAACTTATAATTTAAAATTTATTTGTAAAAATTCAAGTTCTTTAAAAATATTAATTTTTATCATATAAAGTTTTAAATTAGTCCATTGCATATTTTATTTTGTACATGTATTTATATAAATTATATTTTAAAAAATTCATTGAATTAGAGTTAAATCGATCGATCCGAACATCTCGCCGGTTCAATTAACATCCTGAGTTTCAAAACATTGCTAAAGAGGTAGGTCTTGGCGCATGGCAGCCGGGGAATTGTTGGCCCGGACTACAAGATAAGAAGTGAGCGGATGAGAGCAAACGGTCCAGAGATTGGCAGACTTAGAGATAGACAAGTTGACAGATCAGAGCAGGAATAGTGGTTAGATAATTGAAGCCTTGGATTATTGTATATAGTGGTTATTATTAGTACATACTGGGGGACAAAGATAGGCGGGATTGAATTGCAAATTGCAATTAGAATGGCATCGGCATGGTTGAGTACAAACATTGCAGCTACCGGTGCAAGTAGCATAATGTATGGGATGTCTGGAATGGTAGTAAGAGTAGCCCCCGTTGATAAGACTATAAATGTAAAAAACGTAAACAGTCACAATCATTATAGCTGCTGCAGCACCGCCACCAGTAGTACTAGTACTGCTAGTATTTATCCTCCAACGAAGCTCTCGTCGTCTTCGTCGAGGGGCAGAAAGAGGTGCTACGCTAACGGGAGGAGAGCTGAAGCGGTAATCAGAGCTGAAGCAGAGACCCCAATCCCAATGGCAACCAGCGTCATCGAGAAATCCGGAATCAAGATCATTAAAAGCCCTCCTGAATCTAGGCTCTCTGACCTCGGCGTCAGAACTTGGCCCAAGTAAGCGTACCCCACTTACCATATACGCATCCCCTTTTTTGGAGTCTTTTCTACTCCCTAGTAATTTTTAATTTTTCTTCCCCCACCTTCTCTTAGCAGGAAATGAATCCCTTTGTTTTTTTAATTTCAATAATTGAATGGTCTTCCGTCTCGTCTGGCTTTCGTGTATAAAATGACGACATGGACAAATTTTCAGATCTTCTCGTTATCGCTCGTCATTACTACTGTAGTATTCTTAAGCAATTCTGGGCCTTTTTATTTCAACATGAAATGAATTGCTATATCAGCTTTCTGACTATTACTCACTAGTTACTAATATTTGGGAATTTCTCTGCCTTTCCCTTGCCAGCTTCTGGCTTGGTGTGAGAGGAGAGGGAAGGATTTATAAACCATGTTTATGCCTTTTTTTTTTCTTTTAAAGATTTGATTACTCTTCTTCTGCCAGGATTCAATTTTTCCTTGAATTTTCCTTTTCTTGAGTGAAACTCACTTGTCGCATTTTCCAATTTTCTCAGCATTGTTACACAATTTTCTAGTATGAGCTTCTTTAAACTTCTATGGGTCATATTTTACGCGTTTCTCTCCGGTGTTTTTGTTAACCAACGAGAAGGTAGCTTTTATTTCTTTATATTTTCACTATGAAATCCTTTAAGAGTTGGGATTGACACCCTTGTTTTTCTGAAGAACAATTACTGTATTGTTTGGATAATATTACCGTATTCAGTCTCCCTTTAAATTTCCTGACTTTTTTTCTATCTGCCATGACTGTTTGCAGAGAACTATAGTCATTGCATGTCCCTTCTCTCCTTTGTTTTTTCTGTACTTAACAGTGTGGGGAGGGACTCTTTATTGGTAGGGCGGGATTTACTGAGCAAAGCGAGTATTAAAGATTGCCAAGGTTTGTTTTTTTACTTCTGGGCTCACAAAGCAACGAGGAGCGTAGGTCTATCAGGAAACACCTTGGAACTATTAATTATCAAGTGCACGAAACTTCTCATTGAGTTCCCTTATGGCACTATGGGAGTAGGACACCTGGTATGGGTGATGGCTTGAAGTTGAACTATGTAATTTGTAGACTTTTGCCATACTTTGAAGATGAATGACTAGAACGCTAATTGTTGAATGCAAATTACAACGATTAAATGTGATTGGGTGCATTTCATCATTTAAGGAAAATGTAACTACATTTGTTGTGCTTTACTGAAACCTCATTCAGGTGATACTTCATTCGAAAGGGAAATAAAGAAAAGAGAAAAACGAATTTTTAACCCATATAGTCTTTGTTGTGTAAACCATGTTTGCATATACTGTTCTCTTGAGTCCAGGAAATTTTGAATACCTATTCTTGGCAGTTGTTTGAAATTTTCCTTGGTTCAGCTTTAATTAACTGTGCCTAATCCTAATCGTTCTGCTTGGTTCAATCGGTCTCACCGAACTATTTTGGTTGACACCCCACTTCTGCTTGTTCGAAATCAATCGGCCCTAATAGTTCGGAAGAAAAAGGCTGAGTTTTCTAGTAAAGAGTTGAACAAGGGAGGAATAGTTCAGTGAGATCGATGGAACTACATCCAATAATAATCCTTTCTTTTGCCATTCTTTCCTCCCTGTAGCACTTACCGTTGATCACCAATGTCCGAGCCTTGCCTGATCAATATAGAAAAGATTTCCCCAGTAGGGGGGAAGAGAGAGGCCTGTTCACTTAAGACAGGCGGTAGGATTTTCATTCAAGAGCTCCGTCTTTGGCTTTATTAATGCGTGACCTTCGAAATCCATGACCAATATCTGATTACGTAACCCAAACCTATGAGTCAATACATATAATTGCTGAGAATTTCCCGTGGAATAGCTCAATTACCTAAATACCTGTAACTGTAATATATATATATATATATATATATATATATATAGAACAGACACACTCTTAGAGCTACTTTCCTACCATGATGACCATATCCCATATCCACTCTCTTCGATGATACACGCTCTTGATTCTTCAGTTTTTACAATGTAACAAGGGGCTGTGTGCTTGAATAAGAGAATGGTATGTTCCTGATAAGTTCTGATTGATAGTTTCAGAGTGGGTGATACATTGTATGAATTAAGTTGAAATTGTGCAATACACACACCCGCCAATTCACTCCCACTGGTTCTTTTCTTAGCATCCTTGTGCTGTTCCATCCATATAACTGAATTATCAAGCTTAAGAATAAGCTAAATTAAGTTGCAATAACATTTGTGGTACTGATATGTTTTCTTAGGTGGGAAGTCTTGCTTCCTTTGTAGCCACGCAAAAATTTTAGTCTCCAAGTATTCATGAAACCAAGTGATTTTGAATTTCAATTCAACATTTATCTTAGTCTTTTTGCTTTTGCTTGTTGAGCAATAGCACATGTTTCCTGTGTACGATATGGCTACAGACACAATGGTCTACCTTGTTAATAGCTCTATTGTTCCGTAGGTGGGGGTGTCCTCCTAGCAAATTCCCATGGACATCTCAAGGAAACGTGCTACCTACTGAAGGGAAAGGTTAAAGTCTATCCTGACGGATCTGAGGAAGTTGTGGAAATTGGTGCTGGTGACTTGGTTGAATTCCCAAAGGGTATGAGCTGCACTTGGGATGTCTCAGAGGCTGTGGACAAGCATTACAACTTCGATTAACTGCAGTCTCGGTGCATGGCTCTGCAAGTTTTACCAGCCTATGATTACTAGCAAAATGGATATTGAACAGTGATTATTACTTGTCTACGTTGTCAAGCGTGCTTCTGCAGTTGTGATGCTTCTAAAATGTTGAAATTACATGAAATCTCTAATCCCAGAAGAGCAAAAATTGCAACTGGATACCGTGTAACTAGTTTGTCGAATGTAGTGTTTGGACGCTGGTTTTGTATCAAGGAAGGCAGACTGGCGGATAAAAGAAGATATCTAGAATTTTTATAGTTACCGCATATGATGCCTTGAGAATGTTAGAATGCTGTCGCGAACTGAGGACATGTATCTGGACTTCCAAATTGAGGATAGATTCTACTTACTGTGCATCATAGGTGAGAATGTGGTGTGTTTGGATGGGAAATAATATTGTTTAAAATAATTATTATAGCACTTTTCGTGATAATAATGTATGTATGATAAAAAAATAATTGACAAAATAAAAAGATGTATTGAAAATTATATTTGTGATGCAACAAATAATTTCTATTGAAAGATTTTTTTTTTTTCTTGTTAAGCTCAGAATTTTATCGAATCAAAATATAGATTATTTTGTCCATACAAGCGATTAACTTGAAGTACAACTCATGCTTTGCAACCATGTAAGATATACACGAATAATGTAGTACACCAAGCTAAATGAAAATAGATTAGTCAAAATGCCAAGCAATGCTCGGTTTCTAATTTTCCCTGCACTTTCGAACACCATGTTTCCTAGCCAGTGCTGCGTGAACATCAAACTTAATCTGCTACAATATTTGCTCTGGCATTCAAGTTTGATGCTTAAAGATTCTCATATTCGGTGCCTGCCAAACAAAATAGATTGTTGCTACAAAGGCCAATCTCTACACATAGTTTACAAAATTATCCTGAACCATATGCGCACACAGCCAAGACAGTTTCACACTCCGGGACGAGCTCCTCTATACATACTACGCAGATGCACGACTTCCTTCCATATAGGAAAGGCAAAAGGGCAACTTAAAATAATTGGTCAACAGTTTCAACATCATTCCCGCATAACACGCGTACATCATCATTCACGACTCCACAAGCTTCCTACATTGATTTAGCGTCGAGTCTTTTTTTTTTGTCGATACAGGGGTGTTCGGGTCAATCCTTACGGGTCCCGACTAATCCCCTGTGACCCGGACTCGGCGCCCCAACTCGGCCTCGAACACGTTAAGTGCGCGGAAAAATCCAGCGGAGCGGAGACTCGAACTTGTTGATCTCAAGATTCACTGTGTGAGAGGCGCTTCCGCTGACCATTCATGCGGTGGCGTGTTGAATCTTCCTCTACACACTAACCATGTGATAAAAACAGTCTCGATATATGTCCCTTAAACCAATGTTTTGAAAATCGGACGGGACCGGCTGGTTGAATCGTGAACCAGCCATGAAACCGGTGTGATTCTATACTATAGTTGTATATTGTCAAATAACCGGTCAAGACAGGTTAAATCCATCAAACTAGTAAATCCAGTTGAGCCGGTGATTTTCGATTTTTTAATTTTCCCCTCAATATTTTTTTTAAAATTTTGCAAAATGCAACTAGCAAGTTTCAAACTCAAGACCTTTGTTATAGAGACCAACATAGTAACCACTACACCATCACATCCAATTAATCTCTTTTTATACCATATTTATATGAAACAAATATCCATCTTTCTTTTCTCCGTTTTTCCTAAAAAATCTCATCATCTCATGATTTTTTTTCGAATCTTCAACTCTCTCTCTTCTCTTTTCTTTTATCATCCCTTTTAATCAAATCTCTTTAGTTTTAATTTATTGATTTTTTTCATCTTTTAATTTTTTTGTTTATTAAATTGAAAAAATTTTAAAAAATAATTATTTTTTAACCCTAAAGACTAATTATTAAATGCTACAACCACACACTTGCATCTCATTTTTTGTTTCTTATCAAGTTTTCATCTCTATTTTCGATTTTCTTAACTTCCTCCAAACTCTAAATTTCTTTTTTTTTTTAAATTTCAATATCTAAATCCCAAAAACGTGAATTAAAATTTAAACTCGCAATATCTAATTCTCATATATGTGAATTTTGTATAATTTCAAAATATTGTGATATTTTTGGATTGGATTTAAGATTTGTTTTTTGTAGATATAATTGAGATTGAGATAAAATGTATTTGTTTTAACTTATAGCTTAAAAATTTTATTTTGAAAAATCCAAGTTCTTTGAAAATATTAAACTTTTCATCATATAAAGTTTTAAATTAGTCCATTGCATTGTGCATATATATATTTATATAAATTATTTTTAAAAAAATTCATTGCACCAAGGTTGAACCGATCCAATTGGTTGAACCTTGACCCCGACACCTCACCAATTCAATTAACAATAAGAGTTTTAAAACATTGCCTTAAACCACACAAGTTTGTTCCGACAAGCTGCTTGAAAAACATCTTAGAGAGTTTCATTGGCCGATTTGATGCTAAACAAACCACATGAAGATGGTAAACAAGTCAGGAACATCTGTAGACATAAGGTGACTTTTTGGTTGATCCAGGTATATAGCGTATTAATGTTTTATCTCTCTAAATGAGAGCTTTCTCTCTCTAGTGGAGATTTTCCCTCCGCTTTGGAGGAGTTCCAAAAAATTTCGAACACTCAAAATTTCAAAACAAGATTTCAGAACCCTTTTGCAAACCCTCAATCAAAGAATACCTGAGCGATCCAAAACACTCAACATCCAAGACCATACAACAGACTTTCATATCCTCTAGTTTCAATGCAAATTTAGTAATGTAAGGCTTTTATTATAGTAGAATGGATGCAAGCATTAACTTTGTCCCCCATTAAAGAGCATAGCTAAGCCTTGAGCTTGTTGGTTGTGGGGTCAAGAAAGCACTACAACCTTGATTTCCTTTTATATTGATTTTTTTTTTTGTCGACAATAGTAGATGTCCTATAACCTAATCTAACCTAATCTAGGGGTAGGGGGTAAGGGGAGATGGTCAACTAAGACCAACCATAAATTGTGGCAAATTTGAGGGAAGCAGGAGTAGAACCCTGACCTCCAGCATCACCAAAGAGGGTGATGACCACTGGACCAAATGGCCAGTGGCTCCTTTTATATTGATTATCTTACCGTTTTTGTGCAGTTTTATTTTACTCTTTCATACTGTGGCTTTCTGTTCAACTGTAGTTTTTCCATTAACTCACTTTAATTGCTCTATTTCTAATCTACCCAGGAAGTAGAAAGATCTGGTCTTGGAAGCTTCAATTGATACAGGACATGTTCTATAAGCACGAAGATATGGCAAAGATCCTTACAAAAGCATTCCAAAGGTTTGACCTGAGCAACAAAGAACTGGAAAGAATAGATCTGGATGCAGAGAATGTGCAGATAGGAGTAGAAGAATGCAAGCTGAGCTTAAAAGGAAGAATCATGGGAGAGGAAATTGCTAATTTCACAGGAGTTAAAAACTACACTCAACAAGTTTAACTTCGAAGAGGAGAAAGCCAAAGAGAAAGCTTTAAATGGAAGACCATGGATCATGATAACCAACGGCAGGTTATACAGCAATGAACATTAGGTATAGAGAAGAGCACGGAAGCCTTTCATGTATGTTACATTTGGATACAAGTGTGGATCCTCTTAATCCACTAGCTAAGCAAAGTGGTAGGGTTCAAGATTGGACAAATGTTTTCGACAGTTAAAGAGGTTATTATCCCACTAGGAGGAGAAAAGAAGAGACATATGAAACTGTTAGCAAAAAATGACATATCACAGCCTTTGGCGAGAGGAACTACTATCAAATTCAATGGGAAGCCAATATGGATAGAGTTTAGATATGGGAAATGCCCTGATTTTGCCATAGATGTGGAATAATAGCTTACTTTCATGCATATGTGAAGGCAAAAAGGAAAAGAAATAGGATAACCAGTCTGCAAAAGGAAGATGGAGAATAGTGTACAAATGGCCAAGAGATCGTCTAGGAGATTTGTAGATACTATGAACAAGGTAAGTTGCTGGTATGATTGCGAGAAGGATGAGGGGGAGTAGAAAGCATGTTGGAAGGCTGAGGAGAAGGGAGAGAGGTACAGCAATTAGTGTGTTGTTTGTGGGAACTCATTCCAAGTCCTCATTTATGTAAAGTAGATGCTGTTATTTGAATCCTTTAAAGAGGAAGTGAAAGCATCTTCATTTTACTTAGGAGTCTGGTGCTTGTTTTTTCAGCATTTTTCAAATCGGTATCCAAAACTATATAATCAAATTTGTTTTTTCACTAATAGTCACAGGATTTTATAAAGGTAGTCATAAAAACAAGAACCAGGCATAGAGCTATTAGGCTTATTTGCTGCTGTACTCTTATATAGGATGTTAACCTAGAAGTGCAGATGTAAGCATATTCAGTATAGTTTTATGGGGAGGGGTAATCCGAAATCTTATGAAAACAAGTGATTGACGTTGATAAAATTTCTCTATCCAACATCAGCCTCAAATCTTTCATTTGCATATTAGAAGATGAATAACGCATGATCTTGAGGACAATGTTCCACAGACATACAATAGTGGCTGTCACCCTAGTTCAGTTTCATATTGCTCAAGCATTTCAAGTTCTTTGGTTTGAATATCTTAAGATTATAGAGAATCCTTAGGAGCTATGGGAAAGTTGCATGCAGAATCCTTAGGTGTCATGCAGAATTGGCATGCATAATTTCTTTTATATTTTTAATGAAATGATTTGACACAATATTGATTTTTTCAATGTTGAATATTCAGATTGGTGGAGTGAAAAGCGTAACATTAGGTGATGAAGAAGCCCGAGTAAGAAATAGCAAAAAAATCATCTTTGAGAGAGTGGCTTCTCCCACATTTCCTTTTTTGGTTGAGGTTAGGGAGCGGGACTATTGGGCCATACATCGGGTTAGTTGTTTATTTTTTGGTAATCATTGAAATCCTGAATTAAGATCTATTTCACACCTTGTGTCTTCCATGTTGATAAATTTTATTTTTGTTATTTTTTTTTTACTATATTTTTCTCGCCTATTTCTTTGACCTATATTTTTCTCTCCTATTTCTTTGGTGGGGTATGGCAAAGGGTTGTTTGCATCTGTGCTTTAGGATTGTTAGTGACAAGAAAAGTCTAGTTTATTTCTCATGCAATTGTATCCTTCATGATGGAATGCTCTATAGTACGGTCTTTAATTGGAAAGTCCACCTGGGGAATGCCTACTAAAGACAGAGCTAAGAAGTTTATAATGACACTAACAACGGCCTTCCCTTGAATTTTGCACAAATTCAAGCTGTTTTTGTTACTTAAATATTCTTTTTTTCTATTTTCAATGTTCACTTGTGCAACCTCTGGTGCTATGTAATTTTGCTCTGCATTGTGTGGAAGGAGGTCTTAGTATTCTTTTTTTTTTTTTTTTTTTGGGGGCATTGTTTGTAAGGCGGCCATTGGTTCAATACATGCAAGTAATATTTTTCTCTGGTACGGATAAATCTAGTCATTCATATATTGTGGGAAAAAGGATTCTTGTGCACTGAGTTTGTGTTAGCGTAAAACTTTGCTGTTTCTGTTTCTTTCATGATCTCTATTAAAACTTCTTATCTTCCATACATAGAACAAAATAACCAGCTGGGTTTGCTCTATAACATTTACTTAAGACCCCAATTTAGGCATTGTTGGCTTCTTGTTTGGCCGTGTATGCGATGAATTAGAGGATAGGTGCCTGATCATCTAAGGTTTGACTGCCTGTAGTCCAGCAGTGCAGTTAAGTTATTTAAGATCAAGCTGGAGGTCCAGCAGTACTATGGTTATGGTGGATGTCTTCAAATGTCAAACCTAGAGGATTCTTGTCTAGATTGAAACAACTTTATCACTTTGTTTTTCTCTTTGCAAGATATTTTAGGTGGAATAATTTTTTTCTTTTTCCAATTTCATTATTTAGACAGGAAGGAGTGTGGATGCTTTGCTTCGTGGGAGGAAATCGTTTGTTGAGGTAAGCAATGTATTTTATCCGTGTTCCATGATATTTCTGGGTTATGCTTTAAAAGGGTAGTTAAATCTGCTGTAACATGGGCATATATATGGTACAGAATAAAGGCTGTAAATATAGCAATTAATTGAGTGAAGAAAAAACTATGGATGTATATTTGAAAACCTAATATCTCTTGGCAAGAGTTCTTTCTCATTGCTGATTAGGATATGGTCAACATGTGCTTTTAAACTCCTCTAAAATGTGAAAGTAGCCAGGTTCTTTAATAGGTTTCTACCCCATACACATTATAGATATTTGGTGAAGTATCTTGCATCCTTGATTGATGGTCGATTTAGTTGTTAAAGGAAGGTCCGGATGAAGTGGAAAAGTTCCAACTTTCTAAAACTATAACGGGATTAAGAAGTTAACTCAAATTGTGGTAATAGCTTCAACATGCTTAACTAGAAATGATGAGAACTCGAATGATTCTGCAAAATGGAAAAACACAAATTCCTGGTAGAACTCCTAAAACACGGTTACCTTTAGAAATGTATAATGTACAGAACGGCTCTATTCTATTTAACATGCATTGCTTTTACAGATTAGGAAAAGAGATAAAGACATGAAAATCATGATTGAAAGATGGAAGATGGAAGCCTGAATTGTCACTTTGGGAACTGGTAATATCAGTTTGATCCTGTCAGCAGCTTGCACAGAGCTTCTTGAATGTGAGATTCTAACATAGTTCTTGACGAATGGAGGCTTTTACTGGTTTTTTGTTGCATATGAAGGATGATTGATGTTGTAAAGCTTTGCATAAGGTAGGTGGTGAGATTTTTAATGATCCTAGAATCCCGTCAAGAAGCTTATTGGGTGACTTGGGATCTCTAACCAACTCCGACTTTTATCTTTCAAATCCATTGCATGAGATCTTACCAGAGATCCTAGAAAATTCAATGAGATCAGTAACTTTCATATCGAGATGGTGATTAAAAGAGGGCCACCTCTTGGGGGGTTCTAATTTCTAAAGGTCAGGATTCCAATTCTTCGCTGCCAGTAACCACCCTCCACTTGAGGACTACAGCTCAAGCAGGTCCCTCCCCCGCAAAATACTTCGCCAACCCCACGTGGCATTGGTATTACAATTGACAGTGAGGAAGTTCTTGTTCATATAAATGTTTTGAAATGAAAAAACTCACTCTGACAAAGATTGCCTTAGCTAAGAATGCCCGCCCTATTCATTTTCTCAGTAGATCTAATACCTCGTCTCCATTGTTATTTAGACCTGGGTAGAATAGACAAGGGTTTCCAATTGATACCCTAGCCTTCTACAAATAAATCTGGCAAATGTCGATCCACGCTTTAAGCAGCACTCCGAGGGATATGAAACATTGCAAGCGCAAACGATCTCCGCTTTCCAATGAGCTTTGCGCGAACTATTCACTAAGGCCTTGTTTAGAAGGTCATTTTGCACCAAAATTTTTATGATTTTCGTGAACATATTTTTTAATTTTTTTTTTACTTCATATATATCAAATTGTTATAGTACAAAAATTTTAGAAAATTGCAATCCATACAGGACATAAATTTGACTTTATAAAATTTACCTTTTGACCAGACAAAAAAAAAATGAGAAAATTTTTTGCTAACACCAATTTCTGAGTGTAATGCGAATAATGAATGTAAAGTGTATGAGTGGATAATGATAGGCGTTTGTTGGGGAAAAAAAAAAAAAAGGACAATGATAGGCACTGTAATGAATTTAGTGTATATGAAACTATGAATTCAAGACAAAAAAAATACTATGAATTAGCTATGAATTTTTAGCTATAATGCCCTTGTTATTTTCATAGCTTATTAGTATCAAAATAAGAAAATTGCACAAAATATTCCTCGCTTTTTGCAAAAAAAAAAAAGAAAAAAATTTACCCTCCTCGTAATTAGATTGTTGATCTCATGTCATTCGTGAAAGCAAGTCATGGTCCAAGACCTCCAATTTTTGGCAACTTTTTGACCCACCGCACAGGTTCAATTGTACAGGAGCAAAAAATGCCAGATTAAGGGGACGAAATAAAAACTTAAAGAAACAAACTACTATAAAAAAAAAAAAAAAAATCATATAAACTTGCACGTCACTGCCTCGGTTCTCATAGGAAGTATTTCTTTAATTATTCACCTAAACAATTAACATGCAATTAATGATGCAACAACCAAATCTTGATCCGTGATTTACTTCCTAAAAGCTAGTAGTATTAAACTAGCCCACTGGCCTCTGCTTTGTTATTACAGCTTTCATGAGAAGTCACTCCTAAATACAGAGAATGATTTCCACTCCCAAATTTTAGCAAAATATGGATTCCAAAATGTTTGAATAGAGAAAAAAATTACATTTAACAAAAATGTCATTGATTTCAATTATACTATTACACCGTAAACAGAATTAAATATCTTAGTATTCAAGTTTGTTTGATCATTGTATCGTATTTGAAATTGTGTTCAAGTTTGATTTGTTTATATACCAAGTTGAGTTTGAAAATATTAATTTTTATCAAGTCAAACTCTAATAGCTTGAATATTTTGGTTGCAAAGTTCCAATGTTTATGAAATCTAACTCTAATAATTTGAATATTTTACATACAAAGTTCCAATGTTAATCAAGCTAAGTTTTGAGTAAGAAGAGATTGATTGATTGGTACGTCAAATCCCAATTTTATTTCATGTGTAGTTAGAGATTCAACTTTCTAAAGAACATTGTTTTGAAAATCGGATTGGATCGGCGGTTCAATCGATCGAACTGCGAACTGAACAAAACTTTGATCCGGTTCATATCTCGGGTTGACTGGAGTTAAAAATTAGTAAGAACCGGATTGAACCGTTGAATTGGCGGTTTTTTCGTTTTTGTATATTAAAATGAAAAAATATATAAAAAAAGATTAAGTTTTCTTTAACACTAAAGATTAATTATTAAATGTCACATCCACTCACTTTCTTCTCATTTTTTGTCTTTTTATCAAGTTTGCATCTCTATTTTCTATTTTCCTGATTTTCTCCAAATTCCAAACTTCTATTTTTTTTTTAAAAAAAGTTGTAATATCTAAATCCAAAAAACGTGAATTAAAAATTTAAACTCACAATGTCTAATTCCCATGGACGTGAATTTTGTATAATTTTAGAATATTGTGGTATTTTTGGATTGGATTTGAAATTATTTTTTGGTAGATACAATTAAGACTGAGATGAAATTTATTTGTTACAACTTATAATTTAAAATTTATTTGTAAAAATTCAAGTTCTTTAAAAATATTAATTTTTATCATATAAAGTTTTAAATTAGTCCATTGCATATTTTATTTTGTACATGTATTTATATAAATTATATTTTAAAAAATTCATTGAATTAGAGTTAAATCGATCGATCCGAACATCTCGCCGGTTCAATTAACATCCTGAGTTTCAAAACATTGCTAAAGAGGTAGGTCTTGGCGCATGGCAGCCGGGGAATTGTTGGCCCGGACTACAAGATAAGAAGTGAGCGGATGAGAGCAAACGGTCCAGAGATTGGCAGACTTAGAGATAGACAAGTTGACAGATCAGAGCAGGAATAGTGGTTAGATAATTGAAGCCTTGGATTATTGTATATAGTGGTTATTATTAGTACATACTGGGGGACAAAGATAGGCGGGATTGAATTGCAAATTGCAATTAGAATGGCATCGGCATGGTTGAGTACAAACATTGCAGCTACCGGTGCAAGTAGCATAATGTATGGGATGTCTGGAATGGTAGTAAGAGTAGCCCCCGTTGATAAGACTATAAATGTAAAAAACGTAAACAGTCACAATCATTATAGCTGCTGCAGCACCGCCACCAGTAGTACTAGTACTGCTAGTATTTATCCTCCAACGAAGCTCTCGTCGTCTTCGTCGAGGGGCAGAAAGAGGTGCTACGCTAACGGGAGGAGAGCTGAAGCGGTAATCAGAGCTGAAGCAGAGACCCCAATCCCAATGGCAACCAGCGTCATCGAGAAATCCGGAATCAAGATCATTAAAAGCCCTCCTGAATCTAGGCTCTCTGACCTCGGCGTCAGAACTTGGCCCAAGTAAGCGTACCCCACTTACCATATACGCATCCCCTTTTTTGGAGTCTTTTCTACTCCCTAGTAATTTTTAATTTTTCTTCCCCCACCTTCTCTTAGCAGGAAATGAATCCCTTTGTTTTTTTAATTTCAATAATTGAATGGTCTTCCGTCTCGTCTGGCTTTCGTGTATAAAATGACGACATGGACAAATTTTCAGATCTTCTCGTTATCGCTCGTCATTACTACTGTAGTATTCTTAAGCAATTCTGGGCCTTTTTATTTCAACATGAAATGAATTGCTATATCAGCTTTCTGACTATTACTCACTAGTTACTAATATTTGGGAATTTCTCTGCCTTTCCCTTGCCAGCTTCTGGCTTGGTGTGAGAGGAGAGGGAAGGATTTATAAACCATGTTTATGCCTTTTTTTTTTCTTTTAAAGATTTGATTACTCTTCTTCTGCCAGGATTCAATTTTTCCTTGAATTTTCCTTTTCTTGAGTGAAACTCACTTGTCGCATTTTCCAATTTTCTCAGCATTGTTACACAATTTTCTAGTATGAGCTTCTTTAAACTTCTATGGGTCATATTTTACGCGTTTCTCTCCGGTGTTTTTGTTAACCCAACGAGAAGGTAGCTTTTATTTCTTTATATTTTCACTATGAAATCCTTTAAGAGTTGGGATTGACACCCTTGTTTTTCTGAAGAACAATTACTGTATTGTTTGGGATAATATTACCGTATTCAGTCTCCCTTTAAATTTCCTGACTTTTTTTCTATCTGCCATGACTGTTTGCAGAGAACTATAGTCATTGCATGTCCCTTCTCTCCTTTGTTTTTTCTGTACTTAACAGTGTGGGGAGGGACTCTTTATTGGTAGGGCGGGATTTACTGAGCAAAGCGAGTATTAAAGATTGCCCAAGGTTTGTTTTTTTTACTTCTGGGCTCACAAAGCAACGAGGGAGCGTAGGTCTATCAGGAAACACCTTGGAACTATTAATTATCAAGTGCACGAAACTTCTCATTGAGTTCCCTTATGGCACTATGGGAGTAGGACACCTGGTATGGGTGATGGCTTGAAGTTGAACTATGTAATTTGTAGACTTTTGCCATACTTTGAAGATGAATGACTAGAACGCTAATTGTTGAATGCAAATTACAACGGATTAAATGTGATTGGGTGCATTTCATCATTTAAGGAAAATGTAACTACATTTGTTGTGCTTTACTGAAACCTCATTCAGGTGATACTTCATTCGAAAGGGAAATAAAGAAAAGAGAAAAACGAATTTTTAACCCATATAGTCTTTGTTGTGTAAACCATGTTTGCATATACTGTTCTCTTGAGTCCAGGAAATTTTGAATACCTATTCTTGGCAGTTGTTTGAAATTTTCCTTGGTTCAGCTTTAATTAACTGTGCCTAATCCTAATCGTTCTGCTTGGTTCAATCGGTCTCACCGAACTATTTTGGTTGACACCCCACTTCTGCTTGTTCGAAATCAATCGGCCCTAATAGTTCGGAAGAAAAAGGCTGAGTTTTCTAGTAAAGAGTTGAACAAGGGAGGAATAGTTCAGTGAGATCGATGGAACTACATCCAATAATAATCCTTTCTTTTGCCATTCTTTCCTCCCTGTAGCACTTACCGTTGATCACCAATGTCCGAGCCTTGCCTGATCAATATAGAAAAGATTTCCCCAGTAGGGGGGGAAGAGAGAGGCCTGTTCACTTAAGACAGGCGGTAGGATTTTCATTCAAGAGCTCCGTCTTTGGCTTTATTAATGCGTGACCTTCGAAATCCATGACCAATATCTGATTACGTAACCCAAACCCTATGAGTCAATACATATAATTGCTGAGAATTTCCCGTGGAATAGCTCAATTACCTAAATACCTGTAACTGTA